AGCGCGTTTGGAAAGGGTCGACAGATTTCGCGCGTTGTGATTGGCCAACTCGTTGCAAACTCTTGAAGGCGCACTATTGTGAATCGCCCGTATTCAATTTAGTCAGTTCCAAGAAACGGTCACAGAGATTTACGCCTACTTTCCTCGACTTCGTGAAGGGTGTGTGTGTTATTTATATAGAACTCTATGGGACAAGTGAACATCTTCATGTCTGATTGGTAGTAAGTTTTAATGTCACGAGCTCAGATTGTTCTGACGTCATTAGGTGGGCCTAAAGCCCAATGCAATGTGGGTAAGTGTATTCCGTATCTCGTGTTCGCACACACCTGCCCCCAAACACCTGTTTGTGCTTCTCTGAGGGGCAATCTGTTTTCCTTGCTCTGTGCATGGAGCTTCCTCCATGCTCTATGGAATAGGCTAGGTCACTTGCAGTGGCGTAGCTGGGATTTACTAGGGGGGAGGGCACAAGGGAAGGGGGCACCACCATCTAATGGAGGGAGGGCACCAGCTTTCAATGGTGTGTTTTTTTTGGGGGGGCACACTTTTGTTAGCCTTGTTCAATATCCTTTAATCCGTTTTTGTTTAGTTGGGGGAACCTGGGGGGGGACCGTAAATTTTTTTGGGGGGGGGGAGACGTGCCCCACAGCCCCCCCCCATGGCTACATCACACCCCTCAGGCCACTTGAAATCAAAATTACAGCTTGATTGACCAATCAAATTATAGTATATTATTCCATGATCGACCGAAATTTGTCATCTCGAACGCTCCGGACATATCGGAGTTAGCTTTTTATCAGGCCTCTCAGACTGATAATAAACTTGAATGACAAACCTTAATACCAGTGAATGCCCCACTTACTGCGACCTATCCCGCCTACTTTGGACATATACAGTCACACGTCCCTTTTTAAACACGAACGAACTTCCAAGTTATTTTCTCCGGTGACTTATAATCACGCAGCTGTAGGGATTCACTGGTACGCGGCACGTCCCTTTACCGCGCTAACTTATCAGACTTGGTTGCCAATCACCTGCCACCATCGCCATTTTCCTTCTCTTTTTCCGACAAGCCATACTTGAGTATTTGTGCCGACTTTTAAAGGCCCAGTTCATTCCAGTTGGGTTTATCGACGGATTTTTCAACTAAAGCAGTGAAACTGAGGAAAAATGTCATCAGGTGGAACATTACAGGTACAAAATTAGAGTCGAATTCGGCCCTTTTGCTGCACAGTTATGTTGTGATTTGTGATTGTGCGTTGATACATTTGTTGATGTACGTGTACATGTACACTGACTACCATTATCAATGCATGCAGTCTTCCCACCGTGCCCACCGTACTTACATGATGTACTTACACGATGCATGGTGTATCACCGTATCACCGCCGCCTGCCCTATATCATGTTTATAGGGCCTGTAGGCCTATAACAAACCCACAGATTAAGTGAAAAGTGATTCAGCTTGTGTGCAGCAAAACGTGAAACAAAATCAAACGACCTTTACTGCTTGAGTAGACCTAGATTCTTCCAACATGTCCATATTTTCTCAAAACAAAGACGACGACCTAATTCATGTTATTCATGTTGTGTTTTAAGGAGATGGCTTGCAAAGGTTTGTTACCAATTTCACCATCTCCCCAACGCAAAAAAAAAAAAAAAAAAAAAGAAAAAAAAAAAATACATCTTGAAAATTGTTCGCGGTACCCGCTGCTCCATT